AACTGATTTAGATATCTAGGAAATAATTAAACTAGTAAAATTATGGTGGGATTATTTGTACGTGTTGTTGACTGATTAATAGTACAATAATTATACCATTTTAAAGTTACCATGTCGACCTATGCATAGAAGTACTAGGGAAGTGTTAAGAGGACTTAAGCACCGCCAAAAAAATTTGAACATATTTTTTGTACAAATAATAACATAAATTTTTACTTCATTGTTGTTAAAATTATAATTTTAGAATAATTCATAAAAATGAGTTGTATTTTGCCGGATTAACATAAACATCAAAATGTATTTATATTTGTAAGCAGATAATAATAATGATTGTATTGTTTGATAGTATGATAATGATGATTCATAGCATTGTGTAATCATTATAATTGAACATACCTATATTAGCGATACTAACTAAGATGGTATGGGGGCAAAACCTCTCATGGGTCAGTGAGTCATACTTATATTTAGACAACTAGAAATTTTACTTATAGCCCTGCGTTTCTAAAAGAATTAATATTTTATTTCTTTATAAGGTTTGTCACCAGATTTTAATAAAATTTTATGCTAATGACATCGTATGACTATTTCGATAATTTGTGTAATTTCATACATGTTGAACCTACTCTATGTAATATTAGACCCTTAATAGCGCTATTAATTCATATTAATAGAGTATTCCAGGCATTTAATGTATATTTATTCTACTAGTAAACATTGTACCAAATTTATTAGACTCTATAATTAATATTATTGCCGTCTATTATCAAATAGTTAAATACCTAAACTGGAAATGAATTTTAATACGTAAAATATTCATGATCCTTTAAACTATTATTTTGTTCTATTTAGTATTTACTCTAATAGCACAAATTAAAACGCATGTATAATTTTTTAAACTTAAGATGTAATTTTCATCATTTTTATGTTTGAATTAAAAAAAAAAAGAAATTCTATAGAGCAGTTACATAAACAATAATAATAATAATCAAATACAAGACTGTAGTTTTGTATTTGTGTTTAACCAACTTACGTACGATTTCTACTATACAAATGAGTTGAAAAAAAATTAACATTAAAAAAATAGTGCATTAATAACATGTTATAAAAACTGTATGACACTCTACATGTGTTTTTTAATCATTTAAAATTTATTGTCTCGTATTAATGTCCGGAAACCAATTAGAAATTAATCTTATGGGAATTCTTTAAGGCTTTTTATTGCACTATACGTACATAATATTTATATATATGTAAACACAGAAGTCTCTAGGGACAAACAGTTTAGGCATTTCTACGTCCCTCGTCGTAAATGACTTACTTTGGCTTTGCTGCTTATAATTATATACCGAATTTACCCTCCAAACTACACACCAGCGTTTTTGGCTATGGAACTGTGCAAATCTATCAACGACCATTGTTTTCTGCTGATATTTATCGTCATCCGGTCACCACCGATGTGTAAATGGCACATGCAGTTTCTGTTCCGTTTGGATCTTTGCCACACACAGATCACAGGCCTAACACCAACGAACCGGAAACGTCCAGTCACGCTGTAATTTTCAGCGCACTACAAAATTACTTCAGCTAGCGCAAAAGCTCTATTATAGAGTAGATAACAAAATTAATTCTCAATACGAACATATAGAATGTGATTACAAATATCTTAACTGATTTTTAGTATAAATAATAACCAAGGCCGGACTTGAAGTCTCAGAGCTTATAAGCTGTTATTAAAACAGTGTCATATTTAGAAATTTATTATAGGAAAGGTTTGAAAGTTTTACGGGAACTAATAGGAAGGGAGAGGTTTCAGTTACCTCATGAATACGTCATTTCCCCTCTTTGGTATTATATATATATATATATATATATATATATAAAATAAAAACATTTTCATGTATCTATAGAAAAGAAGTAATTACTATCTGACGTATCAAGAAAGCCCCCTAATTTTTTTGGTTCAAGGCCTTGTCTGCATAGTTAGAAATAATAGCTATAATTATTGTTATGTCCGTCAGACATAGATAACGGACAATGTCCGTTGGTTAATCAAAATTGCTTCTCTGTATAAGTGTTATCGTTATTTATTTAATATCACTATAAATTAAAATGCATTTTAAAACGACAGAAAATTGAAAGATAACATAAAACTAAAAACTTTGCTTCGATAATAGTTTACTGATTAAGAAATTTGTTACACATTTGCTGCACTGCTCAACTGACTACAAATATAATAAAAGCTCAATGATTTCTATAAAGTACAGGATTTATTTTTATAGTGTAATTCTTATTTATACTACATTAGATATATACATTGTCGTTAACAGTAAACTTATAACGAGGAACATGTCATTAAGAACGACACAATTACACTTAAGTAATAAAAGTTCCAATCGGATTGTTACTAGTTATAAAACTTCAACAAAATATCAATTTATCATTTCAGTCATCGTTAAATACAAGTTTTTGTCCTTCAATATCTACGCTCGGAGTATATCTTTGTTACAACAAAACAATATTTGTCTTTCGTCACTACATCTTTATGCCTTTGTTTTATAAAAAATACAAATTTTAACGATATAAACATAAATATTCCTTATCTTGAATTTGATTTATAAGTATTTAATAAAACAATTTACACTTAATTCAAAATTTTATTAATGAATTTATATTTCAACAAATTTAAAATAAAGTTATATACATTAATTAACAGATTTGATATTTTTTTGTCAATTTTAGATAAATAATTTTGGAAATTATTCATTTTTATACTATATTAGCACATGAAATTCTATTTAAGTAAATTCCATGTAATAGTTGAGTCCAATGACTACAAGTTTTTTTTTTTTTTTTTTTGAGATTCACTTAGTGTAAATTAATATTTATTTCGAGTATATTTTGTATAGAATATACTCGAAAAAAAATCGTTATTGAAATTTAAACTGGTATAAAAAGTAAATAGAGAATAAATTTACTGAACAAATCATTTATTTCATCAAAGAAAATACTTATCAGTAATAAAGATTAAATTGTTTAACTTCAATATAACATTAATTTTCAGAACTCTTTATTATTTATATACTAAAATAAAGTTTAATCAACTACATAAAATTATTACTGTTCAGAATACGTATATATATTTTTAATAATATTTAGTTTTAATCAATTTGAAGTTGTTATTAAGTCAATAGCTTGTACTTAAAACTCAAAATGGTATTAATTATAACTTAAGTACATATTCATTAAAAATAATTTAAAAAAAGAGTTGAAAATTATTCAAAATATAATACTGTAAAATGTTATTTAAAATAAATTTTTTCTAGTCTTAATTGACAAAAATTATTAGTTTGAAAATTTTTTTTCAACATTTTAAATTATACATTTAATAATTAATAGCGATGGCGGATTTCTGAAGTGATTCCAATTAAAATTTATAGAGCATCAAAAATTCTACAAATTTGGGACATAAAATTTTGAGTCTTGGTTATACGTAGATAAATTCAATGGGATACTATTCTAAAATAAATGGGCTTAATAAGAAGAAAACTATTTACGCATATTTAATAGTCTATAGTAATATTTTAATATAGTAATACAAATAAAAAATGTCTAGATTATGTGGGCACAGAGATCATTTTTATTATAAAGTTTTTCATCCCCACCCATGGTAAAATCATTTGACCAATAACTACTCTTAGCGTAGACCAAGACAATAGTTGCATATGATAAATTCCTAAAAATATCCAATAGACACGGTATGTTGCCACGATAGCAATAATTCATATTAATATCATAATGTACTTTTAATTATTTGCATTTATAATTAGTCATTTTTTGAAATTGTATGAATATTATAAACAATTTCTATTTTTAAACTGATTGGATAATATTTAATTACATCGAATTCTATAAAAAATATCACATTAACTATTATGGATACACTATTACTATAAAAAAAAATTATATAGTTATTGATATAACTAAAAACATATCAGTTGAGTTTCGGAGTTAAAAAACATTTAAGATTATTCTGGAAAAACATGATTGAATATTTTAGTACCATATGTTATAATTTATTTTATTATAATATAGTATGTGGCATATAATATATTATACTAAATACATACTAAATGAATATACTATATGCATGGAATGAATTGATGAAGGGTTTTAATGAAACTTACCTTTCGCCGTGCATTTAAATATCAATTTCATACTAAATTTAATTATTATAATAAGTATATATATTATAATTATAAATAAAATAACTACTAATCAGGATATAAATAATAAAATAAGAATTGATGATGCTTTTGGAATAATCCACCAAAATTTCTTAAAATTATACACTATCTACATATTTGCATTGAAGAATTTCTGTAAATAGAGATTTTAATTACTGTCAAATATCATCTATACTTGTCCCAACTATACCATGTCCATATTGTGCCACGACATCACTATGCTACGGTTCTTTTTAACTTATAAAATATAAAAGTTACTATTTATCCTTTTATGAAAATTTAAACTTGAAATAAATAAAACTGTTAAATAAAATTTTCGTGAAATATTAAAAAGAAAATTAACTTTATAGAGTTATTGATTTATAATTAACCACTAAATTTCTCGTAAAATAATAATAACCTTGAAAATATTAATAATAAAAAAATATATAATAAAATATTATTTTGCTTTGTTGAATAGTATTTATTTCTGGATTTAACAGAGTTTCAATACATTTTAGGCTCGTTCTTTATCCCTTATAAGAGAATAAGCTCATTTTATTCTAACAACATATATAAAAACTAGCTTATAAATGATAAAAATATATAATNTATTTTGCTTTGTTGAATAGTATTTATTTCTGGATTTAACAGTGTTTCAATACATTTTAGGCTCGTTCTTTATCCCTTATAAGAGTATAAGCTCATTTTATTCTAACAACATATATAAAAACTAGCTTATAAATGATAAAAATATATAATTAAGGACATAACTGATTGATAACAACTTTTGAAACAGAACTTCAAAACTAAAGTATAATAACTTAAGCACTAACTTAACTTAATGTCCGGGTGTATCAAATCAATTCATAAATCTACAGTAATAAAATATCTTTGCCGTCGTTAATGTCATCAAACGTTGTAGTGAATATAATCTTGAAAAAGCTATGAAACAGACCGTTTAGTATAAAAGACAAAAGGGAGAATACTAAAGAAAACTCATAAATTTTACCTTATTGGACCATTGCCCAATCCCACAACGTAAAAATGAAAAAAAGACCCGTCACTGACACTTAACTTTGCTGTTGAAAGAAATCATCGATCGATAATTGAAAGGAAACTTTAGTATAAAATACATAAATCCACATTACCTTAAAATTTGACGAGGTGTAATTGCGCCAGAGACCAGATACCACTAATGAATAAATCACAAAGAAAATCTCATTGGCACCCTGTTGATCGAACCCAGTACCGCGTGCGCCAAAAAATAAGTACCTACCAACTATGCCAAGCCGACTTACTTTATGAACTTTGTCTAATCACACCAACTTTGATAAATTAAATTAGAAAATGTGACTAGAAACAAAAATAGTGTTAAATTTATCTATTGATTAATCCATTTTTACATTATTAAAATGTATTGTTTAAATACCATGAATATTAAGGGGTCCCATATTTTTGATGTATTCAAATTTGAGAAATAATACTCAGGAATTATTTTCTATGTATCTAAAAATAATATCTACAAAATATTTTCTTTATATTACATAATTAACGGTACGATAAAATAAAGAGAATATAAATAATTGTAGTTTTTTAGATATTTCCACGTAAGTTATGATTTTTCATAAAGTAATTAAATGAAAAAGTAAGAGAAATTTATTATTAAACAACTAAAATTCATTAATAATTCTATGGAAAGAGGGGTAAAATTCATAGAGGATTGTAATGATAGTATTACGAGAATGATACTCAAAAAATTGACTTACTATTTTATACAATGAAATATTGTCAAAAAAAAAACCTTCATATAAAATAACGGTCACCCTATTATGTCAATGTATGTCTTATATGTCTAATAATGCTACTTTTTTAACAGATAGAAGAAATAATATTAAAACTTGACCATTAAAAATATATAGTAATTTCTATGGTAACACTATTGAACATTAATTTTATATTCAATGGTAACAGTTATACTTGTTGATAGTCAATTTAATTTATCTTTTAGTAAAGAAGGCATTCATTAATATTGTCGTTTTTGTACATATTTTCTGGTATAAACTAAATAAAATATTACATAATAATTTAGTTCTGAGACTTTAAATCGTGATACTAATAAGAACGAATATTTAAAAAAAAAAGATAAAATTAAATCATTGAATAGTGGTTTAATTTTAACTCATGGGTCATTTGAAGTCAAATCTAGTTTAAAAAATTGTATAACTTCAAACAACAATCCTCAAATAAATCTTATAAACAATACGAGCCTGTTAAGTTAAATTTATCAAATATTTATTGGTCAAAACAATTGGAGCTATTCAAAGCAAACGAATATGATACGATTAAAGTTGTTGAACAATGGCAAATAAATATAATGACTGTCATCGATATTTATGAAAAAAAGGTAATGAATCTTGAGTTCCACAAAGCAGAACAACAAATGTATGAGGATAATTTTACTGAAATCAAACAGTCGTTAAAACAAGATAAAATATCTAAGTGGAGGTCATATAATGACTTGACTTTTAACGACGATAAGTCTTTATAAAATAATTATCGACATCCAAATAATATATTATCAAGTTTCACAGATAATGAAAACTTTTAAGGATTTACAAATCAAAATTCTGAACTTTCAATTAATACAAATAGTTTGTTGTATAATTGTTGTGATAGAAATAAAAATCATAAAAGAAAGGAATTAAAAATTGCTACATCAAAACTGTTTCAGTATTTTAGCGAGTAATCTCTGTAGAATTATTGAAATATTCGATTATGTTAAAATCTATAATTTAATTATCAAAATGTATTTGTTTAAAACTTAATTTTTTAACTTAAAAAATTATATTAATAAATATCTTTTTAAAAATTTTCTTTTGTCTTTACCTATAATTTTTTGTTTTATAAACTAATGGAAAAAAATTGTAATACTTTAAATATAAATTAAGTATGAACATTTAATATAAAAAATGGTGGACTACTATATTCTCACGAAACATTTAAACGTTATTGTTGAATAGAATAAACGGTGTCCTAATGAACTAGTTTCGATTTATAACTGATCATTTTAACGCTGATGTTAATTTGAAAACGGTAGCACAGTGGGGTCACGGCATAGTGGAGACATTGCATAGTAGGGTCCAGTATAGATTTAATCTGACAGTGATTAAAATCACTATCATAAGAAACGCTTCGATGCAAATCTGTAGATAGTGTTTAATTTTAAAAAATTGATGGATAATTGCAAAAGCAACATCAACTTCTATTANTTTATTTAAAATTTTTATTATTAAATTAATGTTACTCATATTTCTATATTATTTGTAATACAAGTACACGAAAAATTTAGGAACGTAATAATTTTTTATCTTTTTACTAAAAAAAATTTCTTAAGAAAAACCATATAGAATATCAATAAATAATAATTTTAGGAAGCTTATTATATAATGTTCCTTAGTACTCTATTTGACCTTTTATATGTAAGTGAGTATATTTTTATGATTCATTTTGAAAATAACGTTAAGATTAAGATATATTAGGAATAACTTAAGGAAACTAAAAAAGATTATCCCCTACTGATCGTTATCATACTTTGATATTAATTTTTTGTAGCTTAACAGAGTAAAAAGTGAAATATTTAAAAAAAGTTCTTTATACAGTACACTTTTAATAAAATTTACGACCAAAAGGATATTAAAATATTCATTTCGGTGCACTTGTGTATAAAGTATTTTTAAAAATCGATTATTTATTGTTTTAATGTGAGTTTTAGTTTTAAATATTAGATAAATATCCTTTGATTTCCTTAGTGAACTTTGCATGAAATTTAGCTAAAAGATAAAACAAAATATATAACATTTTAGCTTCGATGCGAAGCGGAGAAGGTATTAATTTTACTATGATGTGTTTTTTTTTTTTTTTTTTATGTNTTATGATTCATTTTGAAAATAACGTTAAGATTAAGATATATTAGGAATAACTTAAGGAAACTAAAAAAGATTATCCCCTACTGATCGTTATCATACTTTGATATTAATTTTTTGTAGCTTAACAGAGTAAAAAGTGAAATATTTAAAAAAAGTTCTTTATACAGTACACTTTTAATAAAATTTACGACCAAAAGGATATTAAAATATTCATTTCGGTGCACTTGTGTATAAAGTATTTTTAAAAATCGATTATTTATTGTTTTAATGTGAGTTTTAGTTTTAAATATTAGATAAATATCCTTTGATTTCCTTAGTGAACTTTGCATGAAATTTAGCTAAAAGATAAAACAAAATATATAACATTTTTTATAATAATAGAGTAATAATTGTTTAATTTATTCAATGATATATTTTTTTAATTATATATATTTTCTATAGTAAAATATCCAATGTAATTATTGTTAAAAAGTAAACTATCGAATAAAACTATGTCACGTTCAATCAAATTTTATAAGTTCCAAAACTATCGTTGAAGCATCTAAATTTTTCTCATATATTATTTTTTTTAATGGTTATTTATATATGTTCATTTTTCTTATATTCCCTATAATCCTCCCTAATCTCTTAGTGTATACAGATATTTCTACTACATTCTTATAGTAGGAGGGTATATTTCTTTCAGCTTCATCGGGCTGGCTATTAATGGTAAATCCACCCACATTATACTGAAATACTCAAGAAATATCTTCAAAGTCACTCTTACAATAAAGTACCAAAATACAGTGATTTATTTGACCTTTGAATTGTATACAAAATTTTCTAAATATAATATATTGTGAATAATATATGTATAAAATACATTATACCTTACATATAAATATTTTTAAATAAATAGAAAAGTACTTATCAATTTCAAATTTAATGATTATTTTAATTTGACTTCAGTTAATATTTTATAAAACCAAGTTTAGAATATAAATGGACTCAATATAAATGGACTGGGGTAGATTCGGCCCATCATATTTGGAAATCATCGAACCAAACACCTAAACATTTTTCTACTGTTCTATAAAACAGTGCATGGTATACTAGTCTGTTCCTAATCAAACTTTAAATTTTTGATTACTTAAATTTGTTAGAACTTTTATTTTACTATGATATAATAATAAAAGAAAATTAATTATACAGCTATTGATTTTTATTGAAATTATAAATCGTTCAAAAATATATTTTAAATGCCTTAATTCTTAGATAATTTAACCGAGATTATTAAATGTGTTAAAAATCTAAAAAATCAAAATATTAAACGACCTTTTATCAAATGGTGTCTAGCTAAAAGACGGAATTTAAAAGGTCTGTTTTGAATTAAAATCAGTCACGTGCAAGTAAAACTTGTGTGAAGTGCAACGCGGTTGGCGTGAAGAGGATGCAAGGGCATATGAAAAACTGTCTTTTGCGAGGGTGGTTGTTAAAAGAACTCGTGATCAATAATAATAATCAGCTCTCTGGTATGCACTCCACCTTGTAGCGGCAATATCGATTTTTTTTTAAATATATAAATAATATGTGCAGGTCTTTATTATAATGCCATGCAAAAAAATAATGCACTGCACGCTATGCAATGCAACGTACGCGTATAAATTTTCAGCAAGTCTCGATTTGTATTAATAAAGCCCAAAGAAATCCATTGTTGTTCCCTTACGTCGAGGGCTATCTACAATTCGCGAAATTTAAACTGATCTCCCAAGATGGTACGCGATGCCCTTTTTCGTATTTTTATTATTATATATGGCGTTGAGAAATTTACACTACAATGGGGAAAACTTCGGAGTATCTTCAACCTTCATTCTTCCAATCATCTACTTTACCAGACCATCCAATGTCTTTTTATTATTCTTGAGTAACACTGGAAACGCAATGCTTATGGCATATTTATAGTTAGAAGAGCACTCGTTGTAATATCTGTTCGCAGATCTAAAAGAGTGCGTTATTTCTATGAGTATTTTATTAAAAACAGAAATCCCATCGCTTAAAACATACTCAAGTGAATTTTGATTTAATAAAAACTTCTGAATTTTATTGAATTGCTCACTTATTTTATTAGTCGACTTGGTTTAATAATATAGCATATATGTTTATAAACATAAATAGTTATTTATGCAAGTATTATCATTGAGAATACTATGTATACATAAAGGTATAACACTTGTTTTAAATCAGGACTAGTGTTAGAAATGTAGGGTTTTATGATTAACAATTTTGCGAAGCGTTTGTTATTTTTTTTTTAGTAAAAAATGAACCTTTTGTTTTTAG